GTGTTGCTACAGGTGACGTTAACATAGATATTTTGGAATCTTGGATTGCTAGTAATGTAAAAAAGATAGAGTAGGGATTCATACTGGTTTCTATAACCTTTATAATTATTAAAATTAGTCTAGCTTACATAAAATATCAGATCTATTTAGCAATATGCATTCATGTAATTGTTATGAAAATAAATCAAAAATAACTTGCATGTAGTTTTATTACTCTACTAAAAAATTGTGCACATGTAAAAACATTTAAGAGGTTGATTCACCGTTAAAGGGTATAAACATCATATAAGCATCATAGTAAAAATCAGCGGGCATTACTTATAGAATTTTAATAGTTAGTAGGAATGGCCAATAATTTTCACAAAGAGTATTATGTAAACTTCTTTGTTTACTAAGTAAGTCTCTCTTTGACTTCTAATTAAAGTTGTAGAGAAAGTTCGTGCGGTTCTAACGGCAGTAAAATCGCTAAATTTAGTCTGGTGGATCATGAAATATCGACGATTTATGTTTCGCGATCATATGAAATTTTCTTTGCAGATCTGCAAAAAAATTTTATATGATCGCGAAACGTAATCGTTGATATTTCATGATTCACCAGACTAAATTTAGCGATTTTACTACCATTAGAACCGTACGAACTTTCTCTACAACTTTAATTAGAAGTCAAAGAGAGACTTACTTAGTAAACAAAGAAGTTTACATACTATTAAAAGTCTAAGTAATTCCGCCGATTTTTACTATGAAATTTATACCCTTCAGCCGCGGACTACCCCTTAAAGTTTTATTTTTATTTAATAAAACCCAATTCCCGAAGATGCTCCAGGATAACTATATGTGGGTCTTTGTAATACCAAACATATCTTAAGACATCCAGTTTTCTTCGCACAATTCTTTCTTGAGTTGATCCCATGCTTGCTGTCAGATAAAATTATTGAGTCTTCTCTATGAAAGAATTTAATATATTTTTCATGCTAATACCTTTGTACTTCTATAGCTAGACCATACTGGGATAATAAATATTAGGTTCTAATCCTGCAGAAGATTCTGATATTTTGAAAAAATCAGATCAGCGTATCTTAGATAGTGGTTCAAGATACTTTGATACAATTTCTTAATAATCCACTCATTTTCATGTTTAATACCAAGCTCATCAATTACATTCGAATCACTTGAAATCACAACTCAAATGTAGAATTAACTTCCCTTAACAAACTAACCAGTATAAATATCAACAAAAAAAAATTTGAATCTAATATCTAAAATACA